ATATACACATACACACATATATACATATACACATACACACATATATACATATACACATACACACATACACATATATATAAACCTGGGAAGAATTTACCATAAAATTGGCTTAATGTAATAATTAACATTATCATCTGTTAAAAGGAAAATGAAAGATTACTTTGAAAAATGTTTTTAGAAAAATACACATTTTAGATAAATACACATTTCAAAAATGTTATTTTATAATTGCCCTAGAGCTGGGTAGCTAAGGAAAGGGATGAGGGAGACTTTTCTCTATGTATTGTTTTTTTTTCTTTAAAATTTTCTTTTTAGTTGTAAATGGACACAATACCTTTATTTTGTTTATTTGTTTTTATGTGGTTCTGAGGATCAAACCCAGTGCCTCATACGTGCGAGGAAAGTACTCTACCGCGAGCCATAACCCCAGGCCCTCATCATATATTCTTATGTACTTTCTGAATTTTGAGCCATATAACCAAAAATGTAAATACATTTTTATTAAAAAGATCAAATGGGGGCTGGGGTTGTAGCTGAGTGGTAGAGTGCTTTCCTGCCCAGGTGAGGCACTAGGTTGGATCCTTAAGCACCCCATGAAAATAAATAAATAAAATAAAGATATTGTTTCCATCTACAACTAAAAAAATAAATAAGCTTATAGTTATTAGGAAATAAAATTAAAATATCTAGATAACAGAGGTGAGGAGGAAGCACGCTTGCTTTGATTGGAGGCCACAAGAAAGTTAGTCCCCTAGACTGTCAATACACTATCCTCCCTAGATCTCAATTAGGTTGTTAGTTCAAACTAACAGTTGTTTTATTTTTGTTTAAATTTGGGGGAAGGGGAATGGTAATCTGTCTCTCTGTCCCCCAATTAAGTAGATCTTCTCTAACAAGAACTTTATTCTTACTGCTCAAATCCTATTAACTCTAACCAGCACAATGATTAAGCATATTGTGGTTATTCTAGTTGATAAGGACTCCTTGGGGGTTTGGAGGGGGAGGTTCCCATAGTGACAGGTAAAGACTATCATCAAACTCAGCTTTTTAGCCCAAGGCTTGGTGTCAGAGATCAGGGAGTTAAGGTTGTTTTAGCATGAATCTAGAGGCTTTCTTTTTTAATGTCTCTTGACTTCATTCATTCAAACAGCACTCAGGGAAAGTCCTATAAGCAAGACACAGTACCAAACAGGGAGGGTTGGGCAGGGGAGTCAGGACAAAGAAACCCTTAAAGATAAGATATTGTTCCTGCCCCCAAAATCGCATTCTGCAGAGGAAAGCAACTATGACAAGAAATGATGACATTAGGATGGCCATTCAACCCCACAATCTATAACCAAGTCTTGTCCTTACCACTAGGACTGGTCAGTTTCTAATCTAGTTTCATTTTCCCATCTTCAAGCTGAAGCACAGCTGGGTTTCCAGCTGGCTGGGGAAGAAAAGATTCTTTAAATAAATGGTATTTTAAAAATATGCAGTCGCTTTTGCTATACTGAATTTTGTGAACCACCTTCCTCTAATATATAATTCTGGGTGCCAAATTAATTTAAAACTCTCTTAAAGGGCTGGGGATTATAGGTCAGTGGTGGAATGCTTGCCTAGCATGTACAAGGTCCTGAGTTCAATCCCTAGTACAGCAAAATAATAACAACAATAATAATACAAATAAAACTATTCTAAAGAACGTAAAGTCTCCAAGAAATACACCTTGTTCATGTTTAACAACAAAATACACTATACACTGGAAAATAGCAAATGAGAAAGTCCCTGTGGAAGAAATGTTCTTTTTTTTTTTTTATTGCTAACTACTGCATTTACTCAATAAGGAAAGAGCTTTAAAACATGTTTATAAGAAAGCAACAAGATGGGGTGTAATTATACCAAAATATATGCAACCATCTTTGAAAATGCCAGATTATTTGCAGAACTGGATTCTTTTATAGCATGGCAAAGAGTTGTTAATCCCTGCAAGGCCATCTAACTCCATTTCTTCTCCTTTTCACTGAATGCACAGAAAACACCTCCAAGTATGCAATCCTCTAGAAGTGCAAAGATTTTATTCAACTCTTTACCACCAGAGGTAGTATTTTTGGATAAATGATACACATGAGAGCTGTAAAAATGCCCCTCTGCATAGTGATGATATTTATCATTTGACAATATATTGTCAATGCAGCAAGACCCCCCACCTACCATTGTCCACCTTAGTTCACAGACTTAAAGTCAACATTTCACAGTTGAAATTAGCCATATAGGAGGACCGTTTAAAAGATGTGCAATGTGACCCCGCATTGATGCTACTGAGGCATTGCCAACTTTTAAGCACAAATACCTCTTGGAATCCAGACACACTCAGAGCAGGAACTGGCTAAACAAAGTAACAATTCAACCTCAGTTGCTCAATATAACAGCCACAACGACAGTTTCCAAGTGCCAGTTTCCCTATTTTGCAACGGGCAAATCTACTCCAAGGAGAAAATGTTCCCAGTGACCCTGTGGCCCAGAGGGCTTTCTTTAGAATAGAAAACAGAAAATGAATTTGTTAGCTATTTCCTGCTGAACATAAGGAAGGTGTTGTGGTTAGATAGGATGAGTTTGTTTCCTTATTTAATTATACTATTACAGTACCTGTTTTCTTTAACCACATGGTAGAAAATAAGAAAATGAAGTTAATATTCTTTTGTCATCACCAATTCCACAAGTCTCCTCTCACAAACAGGCCTTTTACTTTCTAATCCCCTTACGTAAAACTCCCCAAACTGACTCCCTGTTCACTATGAATTCAAAGCAAAATTTTTTGCATTCTAAAACATTACTGCCATACACATTCCTGCTCCTCTATAATTTATGATGTGTGAGGGCCTTCCCTTTACCAGTGATTGCAATCCTAAATTTATCTTTCTGAGAACTATACTACACATGCTATTTTAATAATATAAGATGGCCATGAACTAAAAGCAGACTATATTTCTGACCCTTATCTCTTTCATGATCTCTGCATTCAGTGGTTAAACTATTAAATGTTCACTAAAACCAACAAGGTATAACTGATAAGGCATATTGTGTTGGGAGGAGAAAGGAAGAGATGGGGAACAAGGGGACAGAGAAGCCCACTACTCTATGGGGATGTCTGACAATGACTGTCAGGTCCTCAGTGGCCCAGACTAGAGATCATGTGAAGATGTGCACTTTGCCTATCAGGAATAATTCAACAAAACCCCAAACAGAAGCTGTCCTTGAACAAGGTTCAGTAAATGTTTTTACTGTCTATTTCCCACTGCACAATACAGTTCCACAGATTCCCAAGGGATCTCAGACAAAATACTTACTAGAATAAAAAATTAGAAATTCTTAACTGGTCTCAACTTGTCATCATAAAATATTTAGGAACATAAAACCAACATTAAAAAACAGTCAACAATATTCCTTAGAATAATGTCAGCACCATAAACTGCTGTTATCTCTGAAGTTTTTTCTCTCCTTATTAAGACACTGCCAAGATTCTTCTCATTAAAGTGATCGCAGTTTAACATAGTGCCTAGATATACTCCCACAACTAAACTCCTAAAATTTGCCTCTTGAAGGTGCGGGGGAGGGAAGCTTCCAAAAGTCAAAGGCATTAATCTAGAAAGAAGAGAGCAGCAAAACTTCCAATGAGCTGTTACACATATTTTGCTACTCAAGGCTATCTACACTAACCAGATTCAATTGGTAAACTGGTAAACATACCAACGTCTCTAAGAATCCAGGTCATCTATGGAAATTCAGTGATTATACAGTCCAGAGTCACAACAAATGCCACAGATTCAGCCTGAGAACAAAATGAAACCCCAATATGAATAAGCACAGGACAGGCTGACAGAATACTCCAATGAAGGGACAATTCAGTTTAAATATCTTACTGAGAAGTAAGTACTGGATTCAGGGTCAAAAAGAAAAAGCTCATAAACTGACATTTCTTTGACTTCCATTCTCGGCTTCAGGGATCTCCAGATTCAATGATTTGTTTCAAATCACCTGCATTCTTGTGCAGCACCCAACATCATGAAGATAAGAGATGCAGTGGATACATCCGGCCAGGAAGATGTCAAAGCTGAACTTACAGCATTCAGCAGAAGTAAGTTACTCTATTTCATCATCATCATCATCCAAAGCTCTAGTAAGATCCTCCAAAAACCGCTAAAAGAGGTGTCTGCTAGCGGTCCTGGAGGTTTGCTGCTCTACCCGCTCGGCAAAGACAGGCAATCACCATAGAGGGGGAGAAAAGGAGCCACAAGGAGGACGGAAAACAGTAGCAGAAAAAGTCCAACTCTGCCTGCGCCAGCGGTGTGGATGGCAGAGCAGCGAGCCCCGGGAGAGGAAGGAGGGGGCGGGGGATCATTCCCTAGGAGAACTTGTAAGCGGAGGCCTTTACAGCCTGAGAGTCTGCCCAGCCGATCCTGCAGACCCTGCCAGCCTGGGCAAGGCAGGCCCTTGAGAGCAGAGCGGGCGAGGCCTCGGAGGGTCACTCCTGACTCACTAAGCCTCAGGCCAGCACCGCCCGGACCTTTTCGTGTTTCTCCTTCCGCTACTGGGCTATGATGGCAGCTTTCCAGCTCCACATGCCATACATCAGCCGCAGATCCCAGCTGGCACAGGCCGGAGCCTCCCCCCAGGCCCCCGACCCTGGCACACTTTGAGCCTGATCCTACTTCTCCTCAACCTCAACCCCCTCACCCACCCATGCCAGGCGCCCTGCCCAGGGGGGTGGCCCCACCCCCTCCAGCGGCCGGACGCTGCCAGGCCTGGGCACCTGCAGCACCTCCCCGCCCCACCCCCATTCTCCATCACCTCTTCCCTCCCCCCTTCTCCAGCAGAGGGAGGGGGCAACTCACCGCAGTCAGTGCACAGGATCTTGCCCACCTCTTTCTTGAGGTTTTTGCTGTTGGTGTCAAGGGGGGCAAAGGCCGTCTTAAAGACTAAGGGCTGCTCCGTGGGCTCCAGGAAAAAGATGTAGCGCTGGTTCCTTTCGAGAGGCGCACAGGAGCCCACGCTGATCACCTGCTCGCGCTGCAGCCCCCCACTCCGGAGCGGCCACTTGTCCAGCACCTTCACGAGCGCTACCCGACCCGTGGCGGGCGGCTCGCGGGTGCTGTTTGAGCTGGAGCCGCCGGCCGGAGCCAGTCCCTGTACCTTGCCCTCCACCACCACGGGTGCCTTGTATGCCTGGTCCTGCACAGACTTGAGGCTGGGCGAGTAGCAGGCGAGCGACACACCGAAGAGCAGCATGGAGAAGCCGGGGGCCGGGTCGCGCCTCATGCCGCCGGCGGCTGCGACTCGCGAGCGGGCGGTGGCTCTCTGGGCTGCGGGGCTGCGGGGCTGCGGCTGTTGCTGCGGCCGCGGCTCTGGGGGCGCAGCGGGACGGGAGATGCTGCTGCGGCGGCGGCGGCGGCTGCTGCTGCTGCTGTCGCTCTCGCTGCTGCTGTTGCTGCTCCTCTCTCTGCTGTTGCTGCTGCTGCTGCTGCTGCTGCTGCTGCTGCTGCTGTTGTCGCTGTAGATGCTGCACCGAGCCTTCTCCAGTGGCGGCGGCGGCAGCGCTGAGCAGCAAACCTGCCGCATCTGGCCAGGCCATTTGGGGGGCTCCGCCGCTCAGCCGCCGCCGCCTTGGGAGGGGAAACAGAGCCCGCTGGAAAACCGGAAACAGCGTAATGTTAGCGCCCCGTAGCCCTCCACCCGCAGCCCAGGGAGGTGGCCCAGCTAGGGCAGGGGGCAGGAGGCAAGCGGGCCGCGATGCGCAGCGAGGCGCAGCGCAGCGCTCCCTCCCTGCGCGCCAGGACTCGGAGGAGGATGCGGAGGATGGGACGCCCGCCCACTTGCTCTCTCGCGCCCCCTCTACCCCCGGACCGAGTGGAGAGCGCGGCTTCTGCAGGGAAAGCTTGGGACTGTACTGCTTTAGTGCCCGCCTTCAACCCGCAGGGGCACGGGAGGAATCGTGCCACCCTTTGATCTTGGGATTTATCGGCATGACAGTGGGGGTAATGCGTGAGGAGAGGATGGAAAAGAGATAGTGGCTTCTGACAGCATCTTTTGAACATGGGAGTAGGACACAGGGCATGTCCCCTGCCTTTGGCCATCGGCTGTAAGAATCAGGGAGGTTGCCACGGGTCAGGATGGTGCGCCGTCCTCTCACCTCCTGAGCTGTCCCCTTCCCTAGGAGGACCCTGGAAGTGGGCCCTTATACGAGCCCACGTGCTCGGCCCTGCCACCGCCTGGTGAGTGCTGGATATTCGAGTTGAGGCGGGGAAGGATCCCAGCCCCATCATTTTATAAAGGGTTGGGGCTGCCAGGAGTCTTGTCTCAACGTTGAGGACGCTTAATCAGAGGTGGCTGTTGGAAGAGGGTAGTTTCCAAAACTCTGGGCTTTCTCCAGGAGTCAGGGAGAATTAAGCTGCACGCTACACAACCCCATTTTTTTAAGCAGCTCCCCAAGGGAGATGGGTGTCCCTTGGGAGTCTCTGTCAGGACCAGAGACTGATCCACAAAAACTGTTTCTTTATAAAAGTCTGGTGCTTACAAGAGGCAGAAGAGTTTGCTCCACTGGAATCAGTGTCTTATTTAAAAAAAAAAAAAAAAAACCATATATCTCCATAATCTTTTCTTCTATTAATGAAGGTCCAGGAAAGGTTTACTAACCAGCTTTTATTCTCGAAGGATGTTGAGCTCAGGAATGCTAGTGAGGTCTTTGAGAATTTCATCCCTGTATGGGCCTCCCAGGAAACTGGCCTAAGGATGTCTGACTTAGTCTAGGACAGCTATTCTGGAAAAAGAGTGCTAGACCTTTTCTCTTGTCTATCTTAAGAGATGAACTATATATCCCAAAGCAACAGAGTTATTTCTCCCACCTGACTCCAAATTCCCTATAATTCTTAATGACCATCCAATCTATTCCAATAAGTCTGTTAGTCTCATCTTTTATCCCTCAACCAAGCAATCACCAATTTTTAAAAAAAAAAAAATCTTAAATTTATATACTTCCCCTCCAACTCTGCTTAAGACCAAGTTGTCATCTGTCACCTGGACAACTGCAAATCCACACCTTTTGCCTCATCACCCAGCTCTAATCTGACCACTGCCTAAGTGATACTTCTGAAATAAAATTATTTCTTTCAGCAAGGCTCTTTGGGGGGCTCCTTTTACTTAGCCAGTTCCATCTCCTGAGAGCCTACCCCTATGCTGAAATCTTCAGCATACTGTGCTGTTTCTTGGTGTGCTTCTGCATGTGGTATCTTGTGTTCACCTTGTCTTGTGTCACCTCCATCTTGTCTAACAGGAAAATATTGTTTGCCCAAGACCCAGCTCAGCATTATACCTCATTCCCCTTCCTAAATATCCGCCATCGCTCCCATCACCATGCATATCCATGATGGAATTAATCCCTTTCTCGTCTCTGTTACCATATGCCTCATACATATTACTATTATGTTATTGACCCATACAGTACTTCAAACAGCTATTAATAGGTCTGAATCTCCCATCAAACCAAGCACCTTAATGTCAAGAACTATGTGCTCTGAGTGTTTGGATCCCTACTAAACCAAAACAGTACTGCAATAGATTAAGAGTCAGCAAAACTTTAGTGAAAAGGGGGTGAGATAACTGAAGGTTAGCATTCTCAGAGCATCAAGCCAACCTTGATGGTCTTTTCACTGAACCCCTTTCATTTTTCATGGAACACAGATATCAAATCATAAGATATTGCTATAAGGAGGCTGGCTAACTCCACCTTCTCGTTTTTTCAATGAAAAACAAAGTGCTAGAGAAGAAAAGGGATTTAAGATCACACACAGCTAAGACTGTATCAATCTTCTGTTTGGGAGGCAAAAGAAGCGGAGAGTTTGTGCTCTGGAGTCAAGCATAGATGGGTTTCAACCGATTTCATAACTTACTAACTTTTGGATTTATGGGAGTCTATTTACTCTTTAGGTCTTATTTCTTCATCAGATAAATAGAGAAAATAATAGGGTCTGCCTTACAAAGCTGATTTTTGCTCATTATATACTTATTCAATAAATACTCAACCCGTGGCACCTCTGTGCCAAGAACCAAGGCACCATCCTTGTTGCTGGGTCTACTGTGGTGAGACAAACTACACTGTCCCTGTTCTCAAAGTTCCTGCTCTGGTTGGGGAGGCAACAGTAAACAACTAGGCAAATAGGTAACTAATTGCTTATAGTGATGAGTATTCTGAAGGAAATAAACAGGACGAAATGATAGGGAATAATGGAAAAGGGAGAGGGAGGTCAACCTGGATAAAGGAAGGCTTCTTTGAGAAGATAATGTTTAAACTGATACTGGAAGAATGAAAAGGATGTGAATTATAGGAGATAATATGCATAACATGCTTAGAACAACTCCTGGCACGGAGTAGGGGCCAAAATTAACTGATATTTAAGTTATATTAAAATATTATTGACATTTGAGTTATATTAGCAGTTCCCAATCACAAGGTTTGAATCTCTAAGGGATATGCAGTTATTGTACACTAGGATCTTCTGTGTGTTCAAAAATGTGGCTGGGGGGCTGAAGAAATAAGTCAGTGGTGAAGTGTTCACCTAGCAGTTGTGAAACCCTGGGTTCACTCCCTAGTACCACAAGAAAAAAAATGGGGCTGCATGTAGTGGTGCACCTCTGTAATTCCAATCACTCTGAAGGCTGAGGCAAGAGGATCACAAGTTCGAGGCCAGCCTCAGCAGTTTAGCAAGATCCTTAGCAAGTCAATGAAACCCTTTCTGAAAATAAAAAATAAAAGGACTGGGGGATGTGGCTGATGGATAGAGCATTTTTGTAGCATGTGACAGACCCTGTTCCCAATAGTAAAAATAGATTCCTTGATTAATTAAAAAATAGATTCCTTGATTAGTAAAAATATATATTCAAAGGGCTCAGTGGTGGAGTGCATGCTGAGCATGTATAAAATCCTAGGTTCAATCCCTGCTACCATGGCAAAAAGGAAAAAAACTCTTTTTTTTTTAACACATCCATTTTAAAGTATATCAAGACATGTTTAAGTGAAAAAAACAAGGTGAAGAAGAGTGAAGAGTGGTAAGACATGCTACCATGTTGTCTTGTTTAAAAAAAAAAAAAGAAAAAGATAAATATGTGGATTGCAGATACAGCTCAATAGCAGAGCATTTGCCTAGTATGAATGAGGCCCTGGGTTTGATCTTCAGCACCACTACCAAGAGGATGTGGGGGTAAAGGTTTGTAGTATATAAATTACCTTTGAAAGTATATAGCAGAAATTGAGACAGTAGTTGATTTGGGGTAAGGGCCGTGTGTGATTAAAAGTCTGGGTGCAAGAATACTTCCACAGTATTCCATTTTCTATCTTGTGAATTATGTATTAAGTCCATGTGCTATCTATTTAAAAATATTTTTTTAAAAGAGAGGACACTTCATTGAATGTTTATCAGGTATTTTCACAATCTAAGGCTACTTAAAGCAGAACTATTATTATATGGGATTGCTTGAGGTTTTTTTTTTAACCTTTAAATGAGATTATTCTGCTAAAAAATATTGATAATTATTTCTCCATAATTATAACTGTTAGAGAAAGCCTTAGAATGCAAAGGTAAGCTGGCACAGTGGCACACAAGGCAGGAGGATCTCAAGTTCAAGGTCAACCTCAGCAATTTAGCAAGGCCCTAAGCAACTTAGTGAGAACCTATCTAAAAAAAAAAAAAAGCAAGTTCCAAATCTTAACAGTCTACTAAATTTCCTCACAGAAAATGAGGCAGAGTCTTCTAAAGGGAAGAAATGCACCTGTCCAAATTTCTTCAAGGTGTGTTATTATGAGGATAAACTTCCAGAATTAACCTCTGCCATTTAGTATAGAAGAACAGGGTATTTGGTGTTAGAAGATAGCCAATTCCATACTGATCTTTTCCCAGAGTTCAAAAGTGAATTAGTCTTAGAAAATAAGACCTGATATTCTGAGCCTCCTGATTCTGCATCATAATTGAATAATTGATAATAAAACTAATAATAGCTGCCATTTTTAATGGCTTATTTCATATTAGAAACTTCATGTTTATTATTTTTATCCCTCAAAATTTTTGCATTTTACAACTAAAAAGACTTTTAGAAGTTTAATAACTTGCCCAAGTGATGGGAGGAGTTGGGACTCTTAATTGCCCATTGCTGAAGCACCTACCTCATGCACACTACCACCAGGTCTCTCTGGGTGACAGGCATTCTCTCAGCCTCACTTTCCTTGTCATCCAGAAGGTCTCTAATCTTTCCAAACTACTTCCACACATATTATACTATTTGTGGAGAGCAAGTAGTATAAACATCATCTTAGAAATCAGTGAGGGAAATGGAGATACGAAGAGAATCTAAGTGACTTTCTAAAGATCCCAAAGCTACAGATAGTGTTTTTGCCAAGATTTACCACAGACTCAAGCTCACATTTTTGAACAAAGCCACAAGGAGACATGGAAGCCAGTCCTATTCACTACACCATGGCTAACCACAAGGTTGTGGGGGGGAAAAATTCAACTGGTTTATGGTAGCAGTGGGCTGTGTCACTATATAATAATCACTAAGAACAAAAACAGAAGTAGACAGAATGGTATAGACATTCTGAATTCAAGATAGAACACCCACATGAAAAACTTGGCTTCTTCTCTCAGATCCCTCCCACACAAGATGGGCTTCTTCCAGCTTCAGCCAGTCTTTAGCAGGCCAGAAAGGACCACTGATCCAGGTTACACGACCTACTACTTCCAGGAGAACTGGCCAGGCAAGGAGATATGTATGGCCTGCAGCTGGTCACGAAGTCT